TCTGAGAAAGTGTTTTAACTGCTTAAAAACTGTGTTGGGGAATTTTGTACCATTGGCTTTTTTCATGCTTGTGACCATGCAGTTTAAAGAACGCCAATAAAGAACGTTATCGTAAAATGATAGGCATTTATTTTTTGGCAGCAGTTAGAAAATTGTGTAGTATTATTGGCTGGGATGGCTTATGGTTTCAACAAGATGCGGTCACAACTTGAGAAACCCAGCAATTGGTGCACACAAGTTACTCAAGTGTTTGATTAATCTTTTGCTTTTGATGTATTAGTATCATCAACATTGGGCAGCTAGACCACATGACCTTATACCACTGGATTATTTCCTTTGAGGTCACTTAAAGCATCAGATCTGCGGAAACAAGCCCAATTTGATTCCAAACTGAAGGATGAGATCATAAGACAATTATTCCTAACATTACAAACAATTTAACAAGAAAACTATGACACATTTGATCAGAATGGCTGAAATCAGTATAGCTGCTTGTGGCATAGGGATCACTTTGCATGTTTAATGTCAGTCTAAAAAACATGTATATACAAAAACATAGCTAAAGTCGGGACCACAAAAGTTTGTAGTTGAGGGAGGAGCCTATTTACACGTGACTTCGAAGGAGACAATGAGGACAGTGTGGTGTTGCCAAATCTAATAATACCAGCTGATTTGAAAATGTTGTTTAGTATTTTAATTAGTGTCGTCAACGGGCGATAAGGCAACGTTGCACTAGCCTTGTCCTGTGATTGGCTGCCGCCAACTGCAAACTTTCCTGGTCCCGACTGTAGTTAGTAATTTATAATGCACATTATTTACTTCTACTTTGCAACCTTTCTAATAGGATTATCTTATACATGTTGTGCTCACTCCTGCAGGCTCTGACAGGCAGTAACCTACAGTGGGTTCCATCAGTGGAAGGACAGATTCCCCCCAACGCTGTGGTGGGAGGAACCAGTGAAACGGGAGAGACATTGTACATCGGCCGCGCACAACACGAGGGCTCTACCACAGTCGGCAAGGTATTGTCAACTGTCATACTTTTTTTGTGTGTTAAATTTATACCTCTTTGGCATCAACTTTTATATAGCCCTTTGGCTGGACAGAAGAATGGATATAGAAACTCAAACTGGGCTCCTAGTGATCAAAAAATCACCAGCTTGATCTTAAGAAAAGTCTAAATCCTTTTAATGGTTTGAATCTGAACCCAGCTGTCCTTGGTCATTAGGCTTTTAATAAATACCCCCGCCGCAGCAAACCTGCAGTCTCAGCGAATTTCCATTTGCCTGATTGGATTTTACTAAAAAAAGTCTCCTTAAAAATATCACATTTATTCCCTATTTAAATAAAATTAGTTTAACAAGTACTTAGGTTTGCTGCAACAGGGAGGGTAAAAAAGTGTTTTTGTTGTAAAATGTTAATACTGTAGTTTTGTAAGATATGAATGTATTTTCCAAATTTGATCAAAATATGTTCATAAACAAGCAAACTACAACAGTTGACTTATTCTCCATAAGAATAACATGGGAATTTTAAAATTACAATTTTTTTTTAATTTTCTCCGTATAATAACGCTTCAATATACTAAATTATTTGTTTTTTTAAGCTCTACAAAATGATTAAAAAGAAATTTTGAAATTTTGTGTTTTTAGGGTCAAAAATGGGAAAAACCTATTTTTACCCCATAAAACCCCCCATAAACCCCCGTTCCCATAGTCCGATCATGCTGGTTCGCGAACTCATTCAAGTTTATCCCGCCTTACACCTTCAAACCAAATTTTATCAAAACCGGACAAAAATTACTCAAGTTATCGTGCGGATGGACACACACATATATATATATATATATATCTATATATAGATATATAAAAATTTGAACGAATGGTGTTTTTGGCCTCTGGGGACATCAAAATGAAAAAGTAAATCGGTCCCGGGCTTAGGTCTTACCATGAGACCTACGGTAATAGCTACTTCCCTATAGGGAAATTCGCTAAAATGGGCATGGGTTAAAAACAGCTGATTTTAAGTCAGTAAAAAAACTGTCACGTGCGTTCAACACTCGTTCTCGTATTAAAATACACACCTTGATGTGTAAGGAGTCATATAAATAATCTAAATCTAATATTGTTAGATCTACCTTTCCTCAATAAAAAAATCACACAATAGATGATTAACTTCATACTTCCATGTTGGAGATTAAATTGTTTTACGCTAACATAGGTTGTGTATTTGCAATGTTAAGATAAGTGTTGAATGAATTAAATGACAGCTTAGTTACTTGTTGTTGATGGCTTGTTCTTTAGCCACAAACATTCATTAAAATCCCAGATCAAAGACAATTGTGTCTTTATTGTTGAATCATCAACAGGTTTCCAACCTTTATTACTATCAAACTTTAACTTCCACAACTTCATGTTAGAACTATTTCAACCTCTTGTCATAAAAACTCTCAAAACTCTGTGAATAATAATGTTTAAAGAAACCCAGCCAGTTGCTTAAGCGAATTTCTCTTGTAAACGTTTAAATTTAAAATAGATTAAATTATACACTTTTTCTAATATAAACTTGATGACAGGTCCAACCGAGCCATTCAGTGTGCTACATTCCCTACGGTGGCCAGGAACTAGCATACCCAGAATACGAGATCTTGGTGCAGCAGTAATACGAACACAGCACAACAATTGTGACGCCTTCTACGCTACACTTTTATTTTGTACCTTCTCTTAAAACCTAATAGATTGTATTTCTACCAAAACGCTTCAAGCAATTAATTTAGGTATGAATAATATTGAATAAAAGATTATTTATTTACTACTAACGTGATTGAATCACCTATCCGGCTTTGTTTGTGATAAAGCTTTGTACCTGGAAGGATTGATGGAGTTGAATTTTTATTGTATTGAGTTTAATGGGCATCTATAAGATATAAGATGAATTCTAAAATATTTTTACTTTTAAAGTCGATTTCAGACAATGGTTTAATCACTTTAAATCCCAAAAGGGGCTTTTAAGACCAAATTGGGGCTAAAAATACCTATTTTGATTTCACAGCTGTTAATTTATTCATTCATTGTTGTGGCTTGCCCTTGAAGTGAAACAACTATTATATGGTTTTATTCAACATGTATATCATCCTCATTTAAATCAGTTTTTTCTTACTTTGACCAAGGTTTTGATGAGGAATGTGTCATGTCTTTTGCAATGTTCAGCTTATAGTAATAGTAATTATTTTAATGGGGAGGGTATGAATATTATTCCCTTCTCATTTTTCAAGTCAACTATTCAATTGAAATTAATTCTGTTATCACACAGTTGATATAATTGATCAATAACTTATACAGCTAAAGGAACAAATTAATGCTTGTCAAATTTAACATTACAGTTTTTTATTCACAGGAAAAATATTTTACAGAAGTTGACTAAAGCTCAAATTAAAACTTATATAAATAGGGGAGCGGGGTTTTTTCACACTCCTTGTAGTAGGTAGTTTTTGACATATAAAAAAAAACTGTTCTTGGATGGTCATCAACATAAAATTGTTTTGCCAAAAATTTCAAAATATCCTTACTTCAAAATGATTAATATCAAAACATTGAATCCTTAAACTACTTTTAGTAAAATATCAGACCAATTTAAAACTAATAGACATTGTAAAATTGACTCAAATATTTAAAGGAATAAGAATCTTTATTACCCTTTAAACATTTTACAGTGTAATGGTGTTCGCTATTTGCTACGTAATAAATTGCTACATAATATTAAAATATAAATAAATATTTCACAAACAAAATAACAAAGATATTTTATTAAATAAGTTAAAACAAGCTGGCCAGGTTTAAAATCTACGAATGGCCAGGGACGTAACTAGGGGGGAGCACGCGGGGCATGAGCCCCGGGCGCCAGTTGTTTGGGGCACCAGTTGTTTGGGGCACCAGTTGTTTGGGGCACCAACACGGGCACATATTTTTTCAAAAAAACAAAATTGTTGAAAATATTTTTAATCCGTCTTGTGTTGCAAAAGAAAATCATTTTATGTTTATTTAATGCTATCTGACTGTTTACAAATAATTTTAACGGTCCGTATGAACTTGTACGGAGCGAGTATGAGGATGAGCATACTGCGTTGTCTGTCTGTCGTCGATGAGTCACTAGGACGGCGCTGGCGTGGCGTCAGAACACTTCCACCTTCCACCTCCCTCCCGGCATCCACCTAAACCTTCGCACATCATCCCTCACACCAGTCACCACACACACACATAACACAAACACAACTCTAACACATCGACGCTCGCTGGGTCTGACCCATCGATATACAACACGTCTGACCTTGACTAATTGCGTATGTTGTGCACTAGTGTAGTTGATAACTAACAGTTCATACTCAATGTCAGTTGACAATCACTGTCAACTAAACTCTCTTGAAAATGGTGTTTCCTGTGCATGTAATAAATAAATAAATAAAAATAAAAAATGCTTCATTCCACTAATACTAGCTTCATTGCATTCTACTCGTAATCATTGGTTCAGGACACGAACTGTGGTTGCGGTACTGTTTCTTTGCGTGTTACTAGCAATATTATTTTCGTGAATGATTTTGTTTTCAAATAAACTATTTGTCTTTGAAAATACATACCATACTGTATTCTTTTAATACTTTTCGATGAAATGCAACCATACAAAGTAGGTATTTTAAGCCAAGTATGAATGGAGATGAGTATTCAATTATTCACCACATATATCTAGGCCTTAGTACTTTGAACTTGAGGTTAAGCATTTTAAGATCCAAACGATGGACACACCACACATTTTTTAAGAAGATTTGTAAGGAATTAGTTTCAATCCGATTGAGGGGGGAGGCGCCAAAATAGGTGTTTGCCCCGGGTGCTGAATAGCCTAGTTACGTCCCTGCTAATGGCAGGTGCGTAATGAAACACTAGGTAAAAATATAGACAAAATACAATTTAAAATAGAACAAGTACAATAGAAAAGAAAGAACCACAGCAGGATTTACCTTTCATGAAGTCTCAAACACCTTGTGAATTCTTCCACTCTTTCCATCCATGAATACTTTGTCTCCTGAAAATTTAAAATCTAACTTTAAGGGATCCAGAGTTTAAGGTGTTTCATTGGAGGTTTGGGACTTCAGTCACCACAGTTTCACGAGATAATTAATATTACACTCCTATATTCATGACTGTCATACAGTATCATTATTGACTCACAGTATTTAACAGTATCACTCTATAATAGGTATGTGGTAAAATGTAGTAGCCTGTCCATGAATAGTTTTTGTGGAATTTTTGAAATTCCCTTTTTTCATATACATGGTTACATTGTTGAAGGCATTTACAACAAGCTTACATTATACTAACCAGTTTATGGTTATGTGTGTAACCCCAAAATTAACTGCAAAAATGAAAATGGTATTTGACACCTTGATCTACAAAGCTATCTTCTGAACATAGATAACTCCTAAGATTGCATGATTATTGATTAAACTGATTAAGTTATTTGATGGATTAGGTGTATAAGTATTTTAGTCTCAATAGAGTACGTACAGACAGATTATACGTCACCTGTTTTGAACACAAGTGTAGCATTTGTGGCACCAACAATGCAAGGAAGTCCGTATTCTCTTGCTACGACTGCTCCTGTTAAAAATAACCACAAATGCTTTTGATTCAGTGATAAGATAGTAAAAAAATCAAAAACTAGAAAGATCATGTGAATCAACTAGACGAACCCAATTTAAAATGTTAATTGTTTTGTGTATTATTAATTGTATGACAACCATTTATTGTGTTTATTGTTTAAAGGACAATAAAGCCACCTAGTAGCTTGTAGTTTGTAAAATTGAGCCTTTAGTAATCTGAATAGAGTTAGTTAATGCTAAAGCGGACAGTATAAAAAACAAAATACAAGCAAAGGTTGTATCAGAAGAGTTGCAAGGATCTGGGTGATCTAGTGGTCGAGTGTGGGACTTTGGGTTCCAAGGTCCCTGATTCAAATCCTGCCAGCCACCAATGACTTTTATCTGAATGATGATGCCACACCTCTCCAGGAACTTGAAGTAATGTGTATGACGGTTTCATCCTAGAACCTAGTGTCCAAGAACGTGAAGATGAAATGAAATAATGTTTTTTAACAGGCAAAGTTAGGGACATTGATAAAACATTACAGTTTCAAGACCTACCATGAGATATAAGACCGCCCAGTTCTGTGACAACGCCTGATAGCAGAGGGAACAGAGGAGTCCATCCTACATCAGTGCTGTGTGTAATGAGGATATCTCCAGCCTGGAGTGACTGTGTATCTGTACATGAGAGAAGCACACAGACACGGCCCTGCACACTGCCTGTGCACACCAGAGTACCTACAACAAAAACTTAATTATCATGTTAAGGGGCAGCTCATGTGCTTAGGGCCAACGTGATGGTCTAGCCAAAAATTAGGTTATTCAGCACTAATTAAAGACCTTTGGTAATAGATTGAAAGGTCATACTGCATCCTAACTCTTTCAGAGACCGGGCACAAAAAGGCTTCAAAGATGTAAAAAAACAATGGTTGTCTGTAATTTAATGTCTCTTACGTTCTCCCACCACGGCCAATTCAAATGGAACACCTGAAAATTTGTGTCACTTTATCCTGTACTATTATAGTTTGGTTCCCAACAATATGCTGATTCATCGCCCGTCGTAGAGGCCAATAAGGATGTGAGGACAAATTAACACCACTGCCAATTATTATGAATCTTCTGTGTTTACATTTTAAGAGGACCTGTACGCAAATTACACATTTTAATAGAGTTTAAAACTTGTTTCTGATACAAGACGAATCCAATGCAATACCCTTTTACCTTTCAATGATTATATTTGTCTATATTAGGTGAATAAAATTAATAATTTATAATAAATACATTTTTTTCATTTTGGATCTACAACATAAGGAGGGATTTACCCACCTCAATCAGGTTACAGTTTTCAAAAACAAGCTTGTTAAAGTTAGTTACATAAATAACTATTGTTTCTATTCAATTATGAAATAGTTAAAACATTACAGTTTAATAATATGAGAGAATTACCTATGCAAGTATTTATTTGAAAAATAAAATCAACTACCTTGAACCCATTCCCTGGAGGTAATGGTGGGATGGGATCCCAGCTGTATTGGTTCAGGTGTACCAACCATTACCTCTGGGAACTGCAACTGATCCCATTGCTGCCAACTGCGTTGTCTGCGGCTGATTCTAAAAAAAAAATGTTTTTATTTAGTTCTTGCCAGAGTTAAATCTAAAGCATAGAATATAACCAGTAACTTCACTCTGCCCATTCGTCTATGAAAAATTACCTGCTGTTCAAAACACCTTAAAATCTCAGAGAAGGAAGGTACAGAGGAAACACTCAATCGTACACTTAAGAGGTGTCCAGCATAGTCTCTGATGTCTAGGGCAAAGTCCCAACACCCCATCCCCCTCACGTACTACAACGCTCACGCCGGAGGAAGACCCTGTTCTCTGTGCAATAGGAATTTCCACACACTTTTTGCAGCTCAGGCTCTTTCTTGCTCGTCACAGGTACATTTCTGGCACAACACAGCAACACACTAGAGCCGAAAGTGTACATTAGTTTCCATAAACAAGTTTCCTTTGTACCTTTTACTTCTCTGCATTAAGGCAATTGGACTTTTAGTTTAGAAGGTATAATGGAATGATGCTCCTGTAGAATCCACTTACTGAGCACTGATGTATCATTATGATGAAGAGTAAGACTAAATTAAATAACTTACATAATCTCGTCACAGCTAGGGATTACAGGTAATTTGGTCTTACATTATGTCCAACAGCTCAGGGGCTACAAACATGAAATTTAATTGATCACTGATGTAGTAACCTGAGAGGCTGGCTTTTGTTCAAAGTCAGAATACTACTTTCCTTAATTGGCTATATATTAATGATGCTATCCAACAAACAAGTGAACTTTGGATAGTAAACCAGGGTTTGGACCTTTTCCTTTCAAAACTTAATTCCATTGATTTATTGTAGAAAACACACAAAAAAACCATACAAACATTCAACCATTCAAATATCCAGATTAAAAATTAATCTAAATACATATTTTCAATCTATAAGTGTATTTTAAACTGTATAAGAGAGAACGTAACCTTTTCAAAAGGTCTGTAATTCAAACATTGAAGTTATTTGTTTGTGATAAATATGGTAGTATCAATTTGAAACTACGACCAATTTGGTAAGATCAAATGTTTCTTAAGTAAAAAAAGTTACAAAACTGTTTAGAAACTCTAATAACTGTTCTCTTATTATTCCGACTTTAATAGAAGAAATATTTATAAGCAAGTAAACCTTGGTTATCTTTGCAGAAGGGTAGGGTCCCAGGTAGTAAATATTCATTTTTTTGTTGGGGAGTTGGTTTTCAAGGGGCAGCATTCTGGGTTTGAACGTTTTGAGCTGAACTCTTATTTGAAATTGCATTTTTTTCGTCAAATTTACTTTATTTAACTCATACTTGATTCAAATTATAAGTGCTTGTGGTCGACACTCTAACCTACAAATTTGATCTTGATGACAGGTGGCAAGGATTCTAGGGTAACAGGAACTTGGCAAACCGTTAATAACAGGTAACCGTCTACATGAAGCATACAACAGCAGGGTGTACAAAAAACCCAAAAATATGTCTGACACTCCTATTGACACAGCCCTGCATAATCGATCACACCTTCTACATTTTGTTAATCATCAACTCTATAGGCAGTTGGCCTATTTACTCACTTATGCAGCAGTGCAGGATTAGACGGACCAAGCAGTGTGCCAAGTTCGTAGTGAGTACAATACCACACGAGCTGAGGGGTTGGTAGACGACCCTCCTGGGCCATCAGTGTTGCCAACCGGATGTAGCCTAGCCTCAGCTGATGGACTACTCGCAAGCTTGCGTCTTTGGACATTTCCCTTCTCGCTGCAGCACTACTGGCCAAACCTGCTAGCCAGCGAATCAGCCATCTGAAACAGAGATAAGTTGTATCTCAATTGGATTTAAAGTGAATTGGATGGTAAAATCATATTTTTCAACACGCAAGGCCTCACTAACTAAATTAAATATAGTTTACCTGGTTGTCAACTTCCTAGGGGATCTCAGTTTGTCCACGACATCAGTGTCAACCTCAGGGATTGTTTCTTTCTCCAGAATTGAGTGTTCACTCCTCAGTAAAGTCTGTATCATAGACAGTAGCGGTGTGTTGTCCAATCCCCACGTTGTAGTCATTAGATCCAGCTGTAAACCGTTACCAACCACCATAAATAGTTACAAAGCCATTTTATCTTCTAAGGTTCATATATTGAACACAAGGTAACCACAAAGTGTAAAACTTCACTTAACAGTTATCTATTCCAGTAAAACTCACCAAAAATGGCTGAAAAATCAACTGAAAAGGATTTTACCTCTCATTGAAAGAGTGGCAGAAGCCAAAAAATAGTGAACAGCTCATCTCAAAGTACATTATATCTGTGGTTTGCTCATAAAATCAAGTAGGTATTTTGCTCCTTTTTGCCAAAACTTACTATGTGTGTCCCACCAAAAACAATGATTGGGAAGCAGGTAAATCAGTTTCTGTCAACCTAATTAGGTGACTTTCTTGAACCCTTCTGACACAATACATTTTATACACTTGTTTTAATGTTCCTAATTACCAATTTCACACATTATAAGTTACAACTATCAAACATGATTCTACCAAGTGACATACCTCTTTAACATTACGATGTGCATAGCGTCTTGTAATGTCTTCCAAAAGTCTAAATGCCTCTGGACAGTTGATCTGCATCCACACAGCCATTTTCTTAGGAGGGAGATTTGTTAGTTCCCGCCACTTTTCACTCTGTTTAATATCTTTGGAAAGTTGCTAAAACAGATAATAATATCTATGAAGAACTATATATATTTAAGTTCAATTTGGATCGTAACAAGATACATCAACGCTTAATTTAAACCATGTTGAAAATCATAAGAGCAGCTGTTATTTGCTATATTCTGTTCACAAAATTTAGGTGTTTAAGGGGAAGTTTCCCCACATTGTTTGCTCTGAGCCTCTGAGCAGGGTGCAGTTGATTGACATTTAGTTGTTGTGACATTAGCTGTTGAGCTAATGTTTTAAGGTAGGATCAAGTAAAGGGGATGGATTTATTTCTCTAAAACCGCCTAACTAAATTTTGTAAACAGAGTAGTAATTGTAGAATGCTATTGGTGCATAGTGCATGTCATTGGTTATTGCTGTATTTACTTAGGTTCCCGATTTCTCTTGTCTTATGCTACATTAAATGCACAGTTTATTGTGTAGTTTACAGCTGTGTCCAAGCCATAGGTGGCATTGTGTATGAAAGAATCAACAGTCGAAACCCCTGAAAATCTTTTAAACATGCCAGAGATGATCTGAGAGATCCATTCAATCTCTTACATACCAAAGCCAAAGGGGCCCTCAATGTCAATGTTTTAAATGGTACAACAATTGGTTTTCTATAAAAAAATTTCTTCAATTGTTTTTTAGACAACTGTTAAATTTATTTCAATTCTTAGAGACAGTGACACTATCAGGTGTGTCTTTTAAGCGCAATACAGTATGATCACACAATGAGGGAAGAATGGAGTGAGATGACCTGTCTAACTTTGTTACTGACGATCAAAAATATCTTTATTTAGACCGGATGATAAATTTAAAGCCCAATGATCAAGGTCAGCAGAGTCTGGTTTCAAACCATCAAAAAGCTACTGACTCTTCGCAGAATCGTCCAGAAAACCTCACCCATATGTTATAAACTAACCTTCATATCAACTGGAACTTGAGCAGATATAGCCTTCTGTTTGTCCACCAATAGCAGAGCAATATCTTGCAGATTTTCTTCTGACAAATCTGTTTCATTTGATAGATATTAGCATGGACAATAGATTTAAATAAAATAAATAAATAAATAAATAAATATTTCTTTATTGTCACATAACATTTTTTTACATAGCATAGCTAAAAAACAGGTGACATTGTCAAATTATGTAATGATAACATTAAATATTAAATATAAATATGAATAGCTAGAATAAAGATTAATCTAATAATTACAAACCATCCAAAATGTCTTAGAATAGAAATAAAATTACAATAAAAGAAGATTAAGTGGAAAGTTAAAGAAAAAAATAATTACAGAATCGAGCTGTCCATTAAAAATTCATTAATGCTGTAATAAGTTTTACCTAGTAAAAAGTTGGCAAGGCTGCTTTTAAAAGAATTAGTATTTATTAATATTTTTAATTTATTTTTATTTTTTTAATTTTTAATTTTAATTAAAAATTAAAATGAAAATGTAAATGTAAATGTTAAAAGTTGATTTAATCTAGGCAAGCATGATTCTTTAAAACCTTTTTTCTCAGCTCGTGTGTGCATCGCAGGGAAAATCTACGCATTTTGTTAAAAATATATTTACCTGTAGATGTGCAGAATCCCTTTATAAATTAAAATAGGCTCAAAAATAAGCACAACAAATATGAATTTTAAATTTTAAAAAATTAACATGGGCCTTATGGGTAGCCATGCTGGTGATAATAACAACAAAATATAAACAGAAAATCAAAACAAATGGAAGAAATTACAATCACATGTTTTATTTACAGCGTGGGGTGAAAATAGAAGCCTATGTACCTTTACATTAGTAAAGTTGCACCCCATGTAATGTTGTCACCGGGTTTTAAATTAAATTCGTTGTAGTTTATATGAGCTACCAACAGAGTGCGCTGATCAAAATTACTAATTTCTGTCGAATACACAATGTTTTTTACCAAGTCAAACTTTTTGAATGACTTATGGCTATAGAAATTGTTATGACCTATCAACTTTGTCAGCAACAAAAAATAAGGTAGAAAATGTAATTTAAGACACTCATTCGGTGACTGGCTGACACGTTGATGTTGTTAATAAAAAAAAATTGCAACAGCTGTCCATATAGATGGGATGTCTACTTACATTACATGTTTTTGGTCGAGTTTCGACCACTGGATGACCACTTGTATTTATAAATAGCCCAGATAGCAGGAACAAAATATCTGTTTTTAATTACTTTAACAATGTATTGATTTTTTTATACTTTCATATTTGTAACATTAAAAAATATTGATTTTGCTTTTAGAGAAATACAGTTTAAATATATGCTAGGCCTATATACAGTAACAGTATAAATATTCTCTTGCATCAGTATATATTATATAGACAGTTTTATAAATGTTTATAATGATATGAATAAAATGCAAATCTCAATCTCTTTCAAACACATTTTGAATCAATAACCCTTTGAAAGGAAAATCCAATCCGTAGAACAATATCAGAAATCAGAAAGAAATCATACAATATCAGTATCAATGATTAACAATAGCTACAAAATATTGTTTATTTGTAATTATTTTGCAGATCTTAAATTGTTTATTAATTAGAGTTGAGTGGTTGAATTAATTTTATTTCAGCGTTAGTTTTTTGATTGTTCAAAACATAGGTAAAATAATAACAAGTTCCAAAAATAGAGTTGATGGTTTCTTTTAAATTCAATTCCCAACACAGTTTGACCATTGACTATTGGATACTGAAGGTTTAACCAACTACAATCTGATGACATAAAAAAATAGAACTCCTGAAACCCCTAACAAAATAAACTACGTAATTTTTATGTTTATTTTCAACTAAGAAAAGAAGAAAGTTACCTGTTTTGCCCTCTGAGAGAATTGAAAGAAGAATAGTTTGCCAAACTGTTGAGGCCATCGACATTCTAGTGTGTAAAAGAAACACCTGGAACATAAAAAGTATTTTTTTCTCTGTGATGTAATAGTTAAGTTTCTTAGGAAGGTAGATTTAGTTACTTTTTTTAGGAAGTTACAGAGCATATTTCCTCTTGTTTAAAAGAGCTATAGTTTAACCATATATTAGTAACCTAAACCATTTAGATCCTTTTAGAAAAAAAATTCCAGTAATCAATAAGTTACTGGACTGGACATAGATAGGATATTATTCTGTATTCTAAATTAGCGATTGGCAGATGAAGTATGGGTTTTATTTGGAGTTGGGTGTAATTTTGATACACTTTGATCTAGTGATGCAATTCCCTGTACTTATTGTTAATATGATTGACTAATGTGATTCGGATGCCATTATAACTACTTCAAACTATTTAATAACAAAACCAAGCCCCTCTGTACACTGACTTTAATCTGTAAGACATAAAATGATGCAATTCATACATTTATGAAAATAACCATAGTTACTGCATCCTTGAATCAATATTACCAGAATTAAATTTCATCTAAATTTTATTTCAAGTCAAATTATGTACAGAAAGTGTAAGAAAAGTGAGTTCAAATTTAAAGTTTTGCCGCCGCTACTTCAGTATTCGGTTGTCAGCTTGTAAGTGTTTAGTGTGTAGTCTAAGAGTAATGAATAAAAAAATTATTTGCCTTTCAGTCCAACAACTAAATAGAATACTACATCTGAATCCCTTGATAAATATCTACACTACACGAAATTCAGTCAAACCTGATAAAAAGTAAATTAGAGAGAAAAAAGAATATAGTAACTATGTCTCTTAGTAACCAATAATGTGCTTGAATATTACTTTAAGGAGTAATCTAAAGGTAGACTTACTGTCACTATGATACATTGGAACCCTGATAGAGGATAGGGGTGGTTGTGACAACTATCCCTTACAGAGTATGTCATGATATTGCCATTAGAATATGATATACTCATTGAAACCCCAAATTATGTTTAAAACTACTCAAAAACTGTGACTGATGAACACAAAAAACAACTAACACAGAGAAATCAAAACCCTTCTTATTGATATGGTACACAAACAAACAGTGCACAATACACTAAATAAACTACTAAATTTTCCCATAAACTTTTGCCAGTTCAGTTCTGAGCATTCAATTGGAACCCATGTGATAGTCTCAGACTTTTAATGATTATTTCATTCTTAAGCCTGCAGATCTTAATGTGTCAAAAGGCCAAGGGTTGAGACCACACTTTTATAAAAAGTCTCTGGTTCAGACACAGAGTAAATAACATTCTGATAAGGATTTGTAATGAACATGTTGAACAGTAGGCTTACCTCATTGACAAAAAGTTGTAAGAACAAAATGGAAATTTGACACAATTTTTGGAACTATCTCCTTTTTCAGTTATCGATTCTTTGTTCTCGTTGTTGGCTGTTAATTTACGATTACACTGTCTACAACTGAGTACTAAATTGTCTTCTGTATTTTCAAATTTTTCAAAATACCACAGGCAATTGGTAACACAAATAAAAGTGAAATAAAATAAAACCTGAAAAGGAGAGTTCCAAAAATTGTAATTGCCATTTGCACTTTCAACTTTTTTGGCATTAAGGTAAGCCTAATTTTTTTGGACACCCCTTACAAAAGCCTTAAAACCAAGACTAAAACAGTTTGACAGTTTGATAACTTTGGGTTTTTTCAGGAGAGGAGTGCCAAGAAACTGGGAGAAACCGAGGGAGGCTTTACTCAACAATGCAAAGTCCTTGGCTGAGCTGGCAGCTGCAGTAGTGGACAGTCAGCCTCTGCCGGAATGTCTAAACTGGACAACAGACCAAGTGGAACTCTGGGTGGAAGACACTGTCAAGCTACCTCAGTACAGAGTAAATACACTAATATTTTTGTAAAATTATCTGATCTTCCGTTAGCTGACCTCCAATATCCAACCCTTGAAGAAGATGGAGTAGGTAGCGACAAATCGTAGGCTATATTTACGGTTTGATATGACTTACACCATTGAGGGTAACTACTTAACAAAACCTATTTTGCCTACCCTGGAA